ATGGGCTGAACTGCACAAAACGCATGATCGCACCGGCTAGTCTGGTGCGCGTTGCCATTTATTTCTCCTTCTTGCAATGACGCTTCATCCAAACTGATTTCCGCTGCCCTCTAGTAGAAATCGCAAATCAGTGTGAGATATGGCCTTGATTGGATTGTTGTAACTTTTTCTTGAGCTCTTCTGTGCAAAATCCATGCACTGGTACATTTTTAGAAGATTTATTAGCTGGCTGGAGGATGATAAGTACTGTCGACATTCATCACTGGGACTTATTTTGTATTTTTTCATATATATTTTTATGCAAACTTTCAATTTTTGTGCGTTTTTGCCGTGCAGCGCTAGGGCGCTGCAACAGGCAGCAAAGACGCACATTGCAACGATCCTGTCACTGTGTGTGTGTATGTTTGTGTGTGTGTGTGTGTGTGTGTCCGGGTATTTCAGTTCGTCAACCACGCAAGTTTTGGAGCTGAAATTTTGCCAGTCTGTTCCTCAGCCAAGTGCCACCCCAGGACCGCGGTATCAATTTTCATGCACGTTTGGGCCCCGCGTACGAGCACGTGAAAGTTTTGGCGGGAAAATTGCTAATTCGGGAACGAGAAAAGCTAGAAGTCTGAAACCATAGGGTAATGTTCCTTACACTTGTATGACAAAAAAATTTCAAATTCAGCTGCCCATGACTGCCGGGGGCTCTAGCACGTGAAAATTATGGCGGGAAAATTCATAACTTGGGAAGGAGAAAAGCTAGGGAGTTGAAACTTCGGAGGAATGTTCTTTATTTATGTACGACCAAAAATTTCCAAACTCAACTCTTTAGGACCGTCCGGGGCTCACGTACGGGCACGTGAAAGTTTTTAGCGCGAAAATTACTAGCCCGAGAACGGAAAAAGCTAGAAAGCTGAAACTTTAGGGCGATGTTTCCTACTCATTTACGACCAAAATCAGGTGTTTGGAAGCGCCCGAGCCCACGTACGAGCGAGTGAAGATTTTGGCGCGAAAATTACTAACCCGGGAAC